TTCTGATTGATTGGTGGTGAGGTGACAAGGTGATGTTTCTGGAATCTCAATCATCAATCTTCTGGTTCCAACGAACATGTAGACATCATGTAGTTGCCGTCCTCCACCTGGATGGGGGTCTTAGTTTTTGCAAAACAACTCAAAGATATGCATCAGATGTTAGCTATATCCCTTGAGGAGGAACTAGGAGTCCTGCGGCTGTTTTATGGCTGAATTGTTGTTTAAGCTATTATTACTTTTCTTGTTGAACTGCTTTTCCTTTGTTTCTGCATTTTCTCACTTCTCTAATTATTCACTACCTGACTCTGCTCTTTGGAACTCGTGGAAGGCCTAGGAGACTAAAATTTTTTTACAGACAAGAAGTGCGGGACTCTGAGGTCTCATACCTCTGAAGGCCCTGCAGGGCCCTGCTTGGTTTCAGGCTTTCTAATTACTGTGCGCTTCTGTCTCATTTGTATTTGATCATGACTTGTGGTCAAGTGACGGTCAACGGAGTTATTATGTAATTCCCCCACTTGCTTGAAATTCTCGAAAGTTGAGCATTTTAAAGATAAGGCTTGGGTGAAACATTTGTATTTTACCATTTTTAATGAGTTAAGTCTATTTTAATTGAGTAGGTTAAGTCTAATTGAGTAGGTTAAAATTGAATTAAGTCTATTTTAATTGAGTAGTAAATGAGATAAATGACAGGTATTTTAGATTTCATGTATATGATTTCATGTTAGGTCAGACATGCAAAATACAGAAATCCAAACATTCAGCTAGTTGAAATATTAGCTCGATGAACTTTATTTGCTTTAAAAAGCTTTTCTTTTTTTCCTTTATTGAAGATATCACCACAGGTTTTATTACAAATATCTAGCTCCCCATTGCATTTAAACTCAGGTTTGAGTACAAGAACATTTTTGAAAAATGAACTGAGGCAGATGTGTCTCCTGGATGGTTAGGGAGGGGCACCTTCACAGGTCAAATTGCTCCTGGACCCTGTGTCCCCAGAAATCAGCCAAGACCCCCCCATGACCCCGCAGGGCCAAAACCAGAGACCGTATCTCTGTAACCAGCCTGGGGTTTGGCTGCCTTCAACATGTGGCGACAGAAAGTGAGATGTCATCTAAACAACCATCCTCGTCTCAACGATCCAGACTTTGTTCAACTAAGTGCTGTGCATTCGTGACTTTTTATCACACAAATACTTTAACCTTCCATGTAGTCAAATGCCTGGACTTTTCCTATGGATTTCTTTAATGGGCTCCTGTGCGTAGAAATCCTTTCTGCGTCCTCAGTCAGCGAGCCATGTACAGTTTCTTCTTACCTTGATGCTTTCAGTTTTACAGATGACTGTTGAAATTCATTTGGAATCATTTGGCAGATGGTTTGTGAAGTAAGGATGCAACTTCATTCTTTTTGGTCCCCACTAGTTTACCCAAAGGCCCAGCCTCATTTGGTGAATGAACCCATCTCTCCCCAACTCTGTAAAACATGCTGTATTTGGCTGAGCAAATCCCACTCCACTTTTCGCCTCTTTATCTTTCTTTCCTTTTGTCCCCCAGATTTTCTTGGCAATGTTCGCCTTAATTCTTCCCATTGGTTTTATTCCATGGCGTTAGTTTGGAATTGTATTAGGCCTAGCCACTGATTTGGGAAGACCTGAGACATCGTTTTTGATCCTCTGCCCCCAGTAGTTGAATTAGAGCCTGTAGGCATTTCTTGGGCAGATTCAGGCCTCACTGATTTCCTAGGCAGCAGGATGCCTGGGGGAGAAGATACAAACCTGGGCTGGTCCTGCAGGGATGTGGTTGCTTTTGGTTTCAGTGATGCTGGGAGGTGTGGGTCCTGGCTGACTTCCGGGATGGGCACCAAGGTTCCTTTGGGATCTGACCTCTGCGGGTATCCCTCTGTAATTCCCGGCCCGAAGGGCCCCTGGCCTTGAAGGGGATACTTACAAACACTGGTGAGGACAGGGCAGGGTGGTCAGTGTTCCACTCATGTGACTTAGTCCAAGCTCATACGGCTCGCCACATGACAGGCCAGTAAATGGAGAGACGAGTTGTTGGGGGAAGGAATGGTGACTTTATTTGGAAAGCCAGCCGACTGAGAAGATGGTGGACTTGCGTCCCAAAAAGCCATCCCCCTCTCTTGCACTCTGTTTCCCCGGGACTGTGGTACCTCCTGGGGGTGGAGTCATGTCAAAGAGCAGGGGGCTGGCAGAGGGCAGCAACCTCCTTCTTCCATTCAAGGGTGGCGTGGTTGCACATAGAAGGGGCACTTCCTCCTGTCCTGGGTGTCACAGGAGCACAGTGGAAGGGATTAGCTGGATGGACGGGGTGGTGGGTGTTAGCTGGTATCCACTGGGTTTGGGGTAGAGGAGGGTCCAGTGCAAAGAACAAGAACCAGGAGGAGTGTGGACGTTTGGGGGAAGAATGCGTCGTTCACTGTGGCTCCACTATGGACCCGAGCTTCCCCGCCTGTGAAGTGTGGAGAGAGGGAAGCCGTGGTCCAGGCCCTCTGAGGGCTCCTAGACCAGGGAGGCAGGTGCTTCACATGCGGGACCAGCAGAGGCCGGCTTAGGGCAGCATCATGTCCTGAAGACCCAGACCGTGTGGACAGATGGAGAGGGTCTCGGAGGGAAAGCTGTCGTCAGCTGCCCTGGGTGGAACAGCTCAGGCCCTGCGGGGAATTGTGCTCTATTTTTGATCTAAGTAGAATCTCAGCTTCCTTTGTCTATAAAAGGAGATAAGGGGACATCTTCACAGGAAAGTTCTGGAGACAGTGTGGGACCCAGGAGAGTGACCGGATCCGAGGCTTACTGGACGCAGGCATCGTTGTGCCCCCTCGCGGGTCAGTCTTTGGCTGCCCCAAGCGCTTCTGGCTCCCGCACGCAGTCCGAGCAGGGCCCGTCAGCCTGAAGGCTGTCCTCCTGCAGAGACAGGGGCGCCGGCGGTGGGAGGGAAGACGTGTTTGAAAGTGGTACAGGGACCCGCGCAGACCTTGACCTGGGACGCTTGTTCTCAGCCCCACAGAAGCCGGCAGGGTGGGTAGTTGGAAGATGGTCCCTCCTCCATTTCTTGGGATGGTGCGAGGCACAGGAGTTTCTTACTAACCCTCTGCTGTGAGGGATAATGTGTGCGGCTTACTGGCCCATGGTGGTCACACTGGCTCACCAGAAACCATCTCTGAAGCTTCCTCACCATGTTGATTTCCCTCAGTTCTGCCCTCAGATCTTATTGGAAATAGTCAACATAATCACAGGATGCCTGTAACTATGCAAAGAGCCTTCGTGGACATAGTTAGCCCTTGGTTTCTACCACTGTTGGCTCCCAGTTCCTTGAAGACTGGTGAGGTATAGGACAGGGGACATTGAGAACCTCAGGGAACTTTAAGATCTGAAGAGCTTCTTAATCCTGTCAGGAGATGACAACATAAATCCTCACCGTCCCGGCCAGTCACTAAATACACCTAAGCATCTGAGCGCATTCGTACCTGCACCTTCCATCTTTTCTGTGCTGTAGTCACCCTCCCCCCCCCCCCCCTCCCCCCCAGTTCTGGTAGTTTGCACCAGCCCCGCAGTGGAAGCGTAAGACCATGGACTTGTGAATTGCTTCAAACTAGCCAATCACAGGAGGCTTCAGAGATGAATGAAACCCATGGCTACCAGGGGCTGCAATTCAACCTGCAGACCCTCCCGAGATAAGGAGACCACTCACCTGCTCTTCTGAGAACCCAGCAGCTGGAATAAGGGTTGCGACAGAGAAGCCAGAATTACATGACAGTACCACGTGGTCTGAGATGAGATTTTTTTTTTTTAATTGAGTACAGTTGATTCACAATGTTGTGTTAATCACTGCTGTACAGCAAAGTGACTCAGTTATACATACATATGCACTTTGTAAAATATTCTTTTCCATTATGGTTTATCATAGGGTATTGAATATAGTTCCCTGTGCTCTACAGTAGGACCTTGTTGTTTATCCATCCTATATATGCTAGCTTACATCTGCTGACCACAACCTCGCACTCCGTCCCTCCCCCAACCCCCTCCCCCTTGGCAACCACAAGTCTATTCTCTATGTCCGTGATTCTGTTTCTGTTTCATAGACATTTCTGTCATATTTTAGATTCCACATATAAATGATACCATATGGTATTTGTCTTTCTCTTTCTGACTTACTTCACGTAGTATGATAATCTCTAGGTCCATCTATGTTGCTGCAAATGGCATTATTTTGTTTTTTATGGCTGAGTAGTATTCCATTGTGTGTGTGCGTGTGTGTGTGTGTGTGTGTGTGTGTGTGTGTGTGTGTGTGTATATATATACTTACCACATCTTCTTTATCCATTTATCTGTCAGTGGACATTTAGGTTGTTTCCATGTCTTGGCTATTGTGAATAGTGCTGCTATGAACGTAGGGGTGCGTGTATCTTTTTGGATTATAGTTTTGTCTGGATATATGCCCAGGAGTGGGATTCCTGGATCATATGGTAACTCTATTTTTAGTTTTCTGAGGAACATCCATACTGTTTTCCGCAGTGGGTGCACCAACTTACATTCCCACCAACAGTGTTGGAGGGTTCCCTTTTCTCCACACCCTCTCCAGCTTTTGTTATTTGTACACTTTTTAATGATGGCCATTCTGACCAGTGTGAGGTGATACCTCATTGTAGTTTTGATTTGCATTTCTGTAATAATTAGTGATGTTGAACATCTTTTCATGTGCATATTGGCCATCTGTATTCTTTGGAGAAATGTCTATTTAGGTCTTCTGCCCATTTTTGGATTGCGTTGTTTGTTTTTCTGTTGTTGAGTTGTATGAGCTATTTGTATTTTGGAAATTAAGCCCTTGTAGGTCGCATCATTTTCAAGTATTTCTGAGATGAGATTTTAAACATTATGATTCAAGCTCTCAAGAGATCTATCACTAGATCTAATTTTAACTATCGATATAAGGTAGAAATATCTATTTCTTAGTTTTTTCCTAAGGTATTTTTCATTTAGTGTAAGTATCAAGAAACCATTAAAATAAGAATTGCAAGAGAAAAAAAATGATCAACTGTAAGGGTAAAAGAAAATGAATAGTTTGAAAATGTAGCATTTTCACTTCTGTTTTTCCATAAGTCCATTTAAAGTTCTGGGTCTTAGTTGTTGTTTACTGTTCTGTGGGATTCTCTGTACATCCCGTGAAAGATGATACATCCCGTGAAAGTATGGAAGGCTTCAGGGTAAGCTGTATTCAGTTCTTCCAGAGAGAGAAAAAGAGCCTGGCATAAGAACCAAGACTTCGTAGTTCTCAAAGATGTTGATGCTTTTATAGATTAAACAGCATTCTAGAAACAGAGATAAAAATCAATAAATTATGGCAAAGTAGTTGTTAAAGGTTGACTGAACTGAAGGTACTTATACAGCTGCATGATTATTATGTAATTTAGCAAAACTGCCTTTGAGGAAACATTTTTTGGTGAGTGCTAGGAAAATGGACCAAGCTATTAAGCCATTTGACTTCAAGCACGTTTACACACCATGTGAAAACCCAGCACAGAAGCAAGGAGAAAACCCTCTGACTGATAAAGCATTTTCCAATAAACTTAACGTTTAACAGAAAAGGTCTTCGAATGGACGGTGAGGGGACGCGATCCGCCTTGCCCTCTGTCTCGAGGAGGGGATGTGGAATCTTGTTTTTCCTGTAGCGTTGCTTTGGCTCGGCCACAACCATGCTCTACAATCCATTGACCCTGCCACCTGGTCACTGCCCCTCGTCCACGTCACATCCTCACCTGCGTCCTTCTCAGCCTGGATCTCGGGGTCTGGGGTTATAGCTGTTCCTTTGCATAAACCTTAATTTTCTTGTCTCTCTCAGGGGACTCCCCCGACTGAATCCAAACCCTGGTCTGTGTCTGCACCAGGCAGGCGGACAGGCTGGAAAACCACGGGCGCGTTGAGGGTTTCTGGCCGTTGATCTCAAGGGCTCCTGTTCCATTTATCAGTCCATCTGCTCTCCTCTTCAGATCAGATTTGACAGACTTAAAAAAAAAAAAAATCACATTCACATATATACGGGAGATAAAGTTTCAGAAACTAACACTGCTCTGATGTTTCCTTTTCCCTTCTCTCTGACCCTATCCTATTTCATTTACTTAAAGTGTGCTGATGGTGACCGTCTAAATCGATTTCACAGCCCACTAATGGGCTTGGAAAAAAAGAAGCCCCGGACTATTTCATGCTGAGTCCTCCCTTCTAGAACCTCCCACGCACTTCTCGCGCTCCTCAACTCGCAGTTGATGACCTTACTTCTTATTTCACCGAGATGCTAGAATTAGAACTCCCATGACTCCTGCCCTGAAACTACCAACAGACCTGCCCCTGGATGCACCTGCTGTGTCCCCCTCCTGCCACGATGGATAGATCGTCTGTCCTCCTCTCTGGGGCCCACCCCTGCGCTGGTGCAGTGGACCCCAACTTTTCCCCATACTCGAGGACATCCCTCCCACAGTGGCTCCCTCTGTGTCTTGGATCACCAGTTTCCTGGCGTCTCTCCTGACTCACTTCCGTCCAGGTACAGTCATACCGTCGTATCACCCATCTTTAGAGAAGCTTCCCCTGACCCCACACCTGCCTCCCACTCCTCCCTTTTCGCAGGGGTGTGTTCCCTGTCCCCACTCCCCCGTCCATTCTTTCCTAGACCCGCTCCCATCAAGGTCTTGTAACCCCATCTGACCTTGTCAGGGGCACCCGTGACCTCCACGTTGCCACATCCCGTGGCCAGTTTTTGGTCCCCATCTCCCTCCGTCTTCCAGTAGCATCAGACACAGGTACCCGCCCTTCCTTCTTACATATACTTGGCTTTCAACACCACACTTTCCCTCGCTTTTCCTGCTTCGCTGGGGGCTCCTTCCCAGCCTCCTTTGCAAACCCCCCCCCCCCGCCGCCATTTCCTTAATCCCTGACCATCGAGTGCCTTGGGGCTTAGTCCTTGGTCTCTTTTAGTTGATTCTTCCGCTAGGCGATCTCATCCAGCCTTGCTGCTCTCAATCCCACCTGCGCGCGATGGTTTCCAAGTCAAGCCTCCCCGAAACTGCAGCCGCTCTTGGGTGCCCAGTGGCCTCTTGGGTATCTCCGCTCAGTGGGCTCGTAGGAATCTGAGACTGGATGTGTCCCAAGCGGACTCCTTGTCCTGCCCGCCTGGTCCTGCCCTCTCCTCTCATTTCCCCGGTTCATCCAGTAGCTCCATTCTCCCAGGTTTTCAGGCTCAACACCGTGGACTGTCCCCCTACCCCAATATCTTGCATCCAGTCCCTCAGCAGGTTTGATCTGCTCTGCCTTCAAGCAGTATCCCTGAGCTGTCCACATGTCGCCCGCCCACTGCCACCACCTCTAAGCCCCCATCGTCTCTTACGTGGATTCCTGCAGTGTCCGCCTGACGCATGGCCTTGCTCTGTTCTTGCCTCCCTGCAGTGTTTCTCTCCACGGGGTACTCACAGCCGACTTCTAAAAACATGTCACTGCCTTTCCTTCCAGTTTTCATCTCACTCTGAGTAAAACCCACAGCCTTCTCTACAACCCACAAGTCCCTTTATGGCCAGGGCTCAGCACCCGTCTCCCCTCCCCTCCCGCCCTCCCAAGAGGTGGTAAGCCTGCCCCCGTCCCAGCCCTGTCCGGCTCCTCCTTAGCCAGGGATGGGCTCCCTCCAGATCCCCACGTGACCCGCCCTCACTGCCTCTGGTCTCTCCCGAGCATCACTGCAGAGACGGTGTCCCTGACCGCCCCGTGAAAAGCAGCAAATCGACCCACGCCCTCCTCTGTTCTCCCGGCATCTGTTCGCACCTGACACGCGCTGGGCAAGTCGGGGGTTCGTCTGGTTTGTCCCCAGAGTAGTGCTGGCATATCTATAGAAGGTACTTAATAAAAGCTTCTTGAATTAAATAGTGAAGGCACAAAGAATCGTGAAGCTTGGGTGGGGTGACTAAAGGGCCAAAATATCCCTTTGGGCTAAAAATAAAAGTTCGCCTGTTGTGAGGCAGCTTTCCAGTTTCCTGCCGGAGACGCTGCCCGCTTGGCTGCACCAGCCCAGGGCACGGGGGCCGTGCTGTGGAATCAGGAAGAACACGAGCCTTGGAAGCTCTTTCTCTTGATTCTTTTCCCCAAACCCTGGAAAAAGTTTCTGCAAGAGAGATTTTTTTAAGTGTAAGTACATGCAGTGCTCAACTTTAAGACAGAGATAAAGACATTTGGAAATTTGAATGCAGCCTCCGGAAGGATCGGAGGGCTGGGCCGAGGGACTGGGATGCTTACAGCTAATAAAGGCTCCAGACCCGGGAGAGTTGCTTCCGTCCTCCGGAAGAGGACACCGCCCTGCAAACCCCGGTGACAGACAAGTTTCAACCCACGCACGTGACTCGAGGGGCCAGGCAGGACCGCTACATAATTTGTGGGGCTCAATGCAAAATGAAAATGGGGGCGCCCTGGTCAAAAATTATGAAAAATTTCAAGGAGGTGTCAGAGCGTTAAACCAAGAGTGAGGCCTTCCTGAATGCAGGGCCTGTGCGACCACGCGGGCCACTCGCCACGGAGCTCGCCACGGGCCACGTGAGACATGAGCGTCCGCTGACCAGGGCTTCAAGGTCCAGCTGAGGAGCACATCAGCCAGGGACACCGAGCGCCTGTGAGATGGTTACCCCCTGGGTTGTCCCTTGGGACACAGGAAGTGGTTTTATTTTCCCTCTTTTCTTCAGATCGTAGACCCGAGGCACAGAGAGGTTAAGTAACTTGTCTGTGGTCACAAAGTGTGAGAATGGAAGAGCCGAAATTCAAAGCTGCTCTGTCAAATGCCAGGACCTACACTCTTAGCCACACCCATCACATCTCCAGAGCATCTCTTTGTGGAAATACGAAGGTGTATTAGAGCTGCCATTAACTCCCTCTGGAGGTGCCAAGGACAGAACCGGTCTGGGCCCCTCTCCTACCTTCTGGTGGCCTTGGGCAATCCTCAGCCTGAGGACGCAGGGCTCCAGTCTCCACCTGCATCCTCCAGTGACGTCCTCCCTCTGCGTCCGCACATGGCCTTCCCTCTGCACGTGTCTGTGTCCAAATTTGCCCCTTTTATGAGGACCCGGGTCACGCTGGATTAGGGACTTAAAGACCTCATCTTGACGAAATCAGCATAGACCCTATTTCCAAATAAGGGCCCATTCTGTGTGGTGCTGGGGATCAGAACCCCACTGATCTTTTGCAGGACACATAATTCAACCCATAACAGGATGTAAAGTTGGAAAATGATCAAATATGCAAGAAGTGTGACCAGTGCACACGGTCAGGAGTAGAGTCAGGCATTCTCGGTGGTGAGTAGTTTACTCTGTGGTCAAAGCGCCCGATAGGAATCACCTCACTCCTGCCTTCCTGCTTTGTTCTCAGGGCAGGGAGTCCTCGGCACCCGCCCAGAAGTGGAGGAAGCCGAGAATGGGAGCCGAAGGCTTAAGGAAATGACAGGTGAAGTGGGTGGATCTCGACTGCTGGTTTGGAGGTGTGCTGTCTGTTAAACCTGCAGCGCTGGGTGCCAGGGTCCCTGGAGAGTCAGCCCTTAACCAACCACAGCTTCTCCTTCTGCTGCCTCAGGGAGTGCTAGAGACCAAATGACTGGATTTGGGAGATGAGTAATAGAACTTCCAAATTCCTAATAATGCAGATTCTGATCACAGCCTATTAAAAATAACATCATGAAAAAAAAAATAACATCATGGGGTGTGACACTAAAAATAATAAAAAAGATTCTATGATATTACATAAATACCATAAAATAATATTTACATGTAATTAAAAGAATAGATTTAGCTTTGTAGAAAACGCATGGTCCTGCCCTTGCTTTCCCCCTGACCAACACCATGACCTTGGAGTTTCCTCCGTTCAAACGCTGAGGTTCTGTCCCGTGGAACCACTGCTGTCACGCAGGGGCAGGATTCACAGGTCTCTGCAGGCTCCGCTCTTTTTTCTCACAGAAAACTGGTGAGGGCAGAGCTCAGGTTCCTGAACTCAGCTTACGTAATGCATCTGAACTGGCTCCAGCAACGCCTGCCCCTCCCCACCCCCCGAAGCCCGGCACTGAAGTAGGAGAGAACCTTGGGATTGTTCAAGAGGACGGGTGACAACACCTGCACTCGGTGGAACCGATTGTAATAGGATTTTATCTTAAAAAGATCACCCTGACTGCTGGTTACAGAAAGGGTTTCAGTGAAGCAAGAGTGGCCTCGAGGGGACCAGATGGGAGAGTCTTGTAATCCTTCAGAGGGCGGCTCTGGGTTCTCGGGAAGAATCAGAGGCACTGTTTAGAGAAGACCCAGCAGAGCTCAATGATGGATTTGCTGTGAGGTGTGCAAAGGAGGAAATCATCCGGGATGGCCCCGGGCTTCCTGCATTGACCACTCGGGCTAGCGGAAGTGCCACTGAAGGAGATGGTAAACCTGGGAGGAAAAGGCGTGACACTGAAGAGTCCCCTGTTGTATGTGTTAAGTTTGCAGTGACAGTGGGAACTCAGGCGGAGGTGTCAAGGAGACTGATTCCAGGGTCTGGAGCTTAAGAGAGCTTCGAGCTGCAAACCCACAGTTAGCCGTTTTAGTATATCTAAATCCAGGAGAGGGTGACATTGTCTATAGCAGAGGTATGGAGGTGTTGTTCTAGGGTTAGCTCATGGAGCAGGATGGTCCTAAGTGCAGAATTTTATGTTTCTTGATCTGGTGACAGGAGTCTGAAAATGTTGCAGCTCAAGGGTTGCTGCTGGTTCATTCCTCTTAACTGCTTATCTCCCCCGCAGACAGAGCCCCTCTGATAGTTGGGGCTCATCTGGCGCCCCCTAACACGCGGTTTCTGAGTCTGATGGAGAAGGGCCTTGGGGCTGAAGAGACCTCTTGATTTTGTCGGTAGAGCACTGAGGGCTGACTGAACTGGGCATCACGGTGAGAGCTGGCCTTTATTGAGTCTGTGCATGTCTCGTACCCCGCACAGACCATGCACTGTCTTTTTAAGCGCTTGCACCTGTCCTGAAGATGGGTACTCGTCTTATGCCCATTTGACACTGGGAAGATGGAAGCTTGGACAGCATGAGTGACCTGCTCAAGGTCAAGCTAATCAGGGCTGGAACAGTTTGGCCCCAGGTGTATCCATGGACAGAGCCTGATTCTCCGAGTCAGCAGGCTGAGGAACTTTCCATCACGGGACCCACCGTTGTGCAGGTGGGTGTGACAGTTGGTGCATCCGGGAACCTGTGTTCCCCCCAGCCTCCCTTGTCCGAGCCTCCAGCTTGGCTCCCACCACAGCTGTGGAGAGATGCTCAGGAAATCTGGTTTCACAATTTCCCTCTGAAATAGAAATACTTAACACAAATATTTTTGTGACGTTTATAGTTCGTTTATAGTTCACTTTCCTAGGCATTCTCAAACCGCCATCCTTTCTGTGCCCTCAAGTCTACCAATAATTTCTTTGCAGTGAGTTGATGAAATAGGAAAAGGGGTGAAGGGCGGCAGTGGAGGTGTGAAGGCGCACATATACCGCCCCACCCCGCCTTTAACTATCTTCTCTCTTATTTGTAAGCCTGTATTGCTGGTGGACCATCAAATTCTTTAAGAAAGAAAGAATTTCAACTAATAGATTGGTTATAGTTTTTTTCCCTTCTTTTTTAATTGTAAAATATAACAAAATTTACCATCTTCACCATTTTAAGGGTACAGTTCAGCGACATGAAGTATATTCCGATTGCTGTACATCCATCCCCACCTTCCATCCACAGAACTCTTTTCATCTTTCCGAACGGAAATACCCACTAAACGATAACTCTCCATCCCTCTCTCTCCAGATCCTGGCAATCACCACTCCACTCTCTGTCTCTGATTTCCACAACTCTAGATGCTTCATATAGGTAGAATCATACAGTATTTGTCTTGTTTATTGGCTTATTTCATACAGCATAAATGCTATGTATTTACCACATGAAATACTGGCTTATTTCACTTAGCATAATGTCCTCAAGGTTCAACCATATTGTAGCACGTGGCAGAATTTCCTTCCTTTTTAAGGCTGGATAATAGTCTATTGCATGTAATACCACATTTTGTTTATCTGTTAATCTGTCGGTGGGCAGTTGGGCTGCTTCTGCCTTTTGACTATGGTAAATAATGCTTCTCTGAACATGCAAATTCAAATATCTCTTTGAAAGAGATATTTGTTTTCAGTTTTTAGGGGTGTATACCCAGAAGTGGGATTGCTAGATCATATGGTAATTCTATTTTTAATTTCTTGAGGAACTGCCATACTGTTTTCCATAGCAGCTGCACCATTTTGCATTCCCGCCAAGAGTTCACAAGGGTTCCGATTTCTCCACATCTTCGCTAACACTTGTTATTTTGGGGTTTTTGTGTGTGTGTGTGTGTGTGTGGTTTTTTTGGGTAATAGTCATACTAATGGGTACAACATAGTATCTCATTGTGGTTTTGATTTGCCTTTCTCTAATGGTTACTTACGTGGAGCATCTTTTTATTTGCTTGTTGGTCACTTGTATATCTTCTTTGGAGAAATTTTCACTCAAGTCT